CAGCTCCAGGTTGAGCTGTTGTTCAGCATCTTACCTGTAGAGGGCAGTGTCACTGGCCCTCATATGTGGGATCCGAACCGGGGCCCTCTGATATCCCAAGCCAGCTCTTAACCAACGCGCCACTCGGCCGGCCCTAACAATAGATATTTCACAAAAGCATAAACTTTTTGGGGTCAGCAATTTTGAAGAATGTAAAGAGCCCTAAGACCAGGTAGCTTGAAAGCAACAGCTCTAAACTAAGGCACCAGCAGGCTCCCACCTTACCTTACTCTGCAGGTGCCTTTCCATCCACCCTCAACTTGCTATCCCCTCTCTCACTCAGGTCTCTGATGGCCACCTCCTCCGGAAGGACCTCCCTGACCGCTCTGTCCACAATGGCCACCACCCACCCACACTCCCTCCTGTTATCCTTTATTTTTCTCCGCAGCACGTATCATTAGCTGAGCCTACAGTATAGTTATTTTATGTAGGCATTGCCTGTCTAGCCCATCAGACTCTAAGCTTCATGAAGTCAGGTGCTTGGCCTTACTCACTGATACTTTTCCAGCACCTATGATGGTTCCAAACATTTGGCAACCGCTCAGTAAATATTTGTTGAATGACTGAATGAATGAATGACCTCATTGCATTCTCACAAACCCCAATAAGGTGGAAACTGTTGGTTTCCCCATTTTAGGGCTGGGGAAACTAAAAGAAGTTCACCTAAAAATCATGACTTGCCTAAAATTGTACCTCTTAGAAGTGAGATAGTTTGGGATTTTAAATAGGTTTGCCAAAAGCAGAGTTGGGATCTTACTTGGAAATTGAGTCAAACCAAGGGTGCCACAAAAAGACATTTTTGAGACAACCTGGGGGTGTAGGTAAGGCCTGGAGGATACCAAGGGATTATTTACCAAAAAATGTGTTGGGTGTGCTAGAGGCATTGTGGTTATGCTAGAAAATACTGCACCTTGTTTCACAAGATGTATGCTGAGATACATAAAGGTGTAATGATATGCTGTATGCGATTTGCTTTAAAATATTTAAGGAAGAAACAGAAAAGAAAACGGAATAGATGAAGAAAACATGGAAAGATCTTCATAACCACTGAATCTGAGCTATGAGAGCTTCAGTTCAGGTCCTCTGAGAAACAAGAAGTAACAGCTTGGGAAGGAGACTGGGAGAGAGCTGGTGGAGGGGGGAGAGCCATCAGACTGGGGTGTAGGCCTCTCCCCGGTGGAAGAGAAGGAAAAGGAAGGAGGGCTGGGCCAGAAGAGTCTTCAGCTATGGTGCAGCCTTTAAAAGTTTCAGCATGGCCGTCCAGGAGTGCTTGAGCCAAATCTGCCCATCAGAGTAGTGTCACGTCTCTCAGGAAAGATCCTGCCTCGTAGTTATATGAGTGTTCTGTGGCTGCTGTAACAAATGACCCCAGGGCCGGCCGAGTGGCTCAGTT